GTGGGAGCGTTCCCAGCACTCTGCTGTATTTTATTAATAAAGCTTTACAATTTAAACACTTGGTGTGTTACATCATCTCCTCCCCAAATGATCCTGCGGCATCAGCCTGATCACCTGACGCTCCAGGCAGATTGGTAACGAAAATCTGTCACAATACTAACCAGCAGTTCATATTTTCGGCATGTTTAATGTGGGTTAAGCCATATCAGCCAATCATGGTCAGTTTGTCATCGATGTGGCATTGATTAGACTATGTGCTGGATGGATAAGCAAGTGTCAATTTGCTCTCAGGGACATGGCCTCTGAAGGACAGGCTAAAGAGTGGCCCTCCAATAACTGTCAGACCACTGGCTAAGTCCAATAGCAAAGCAAGCTGAATTGCACTGTCTGATCTTAAATGAATTGCAGCTGCATTGTCGTACCACTGCCTCAGATCCCTACCGTTAAGCAGTCTGCTTGGATGAATTTCAATGGATAGGATTTTGCTTTTGAATTACATTTATATCTGACAGGCTCTGTGCCTCCCTGGCTCCTTTAAAAAAAAAAACGGCTATTAAGTGGAAACAGCCATAAGGAAATGAAAAGCAAGGCTAGCGAAGAGTATTAAGAAAGCAGATTTTAGGAAAGGAAATACTCTTATGGTAACCCCAACTGGCTCTTCAAAAACACCCAATTGCATCCACCCCTAGACCAGGACTGGGTAAGGGTGCTTTGAATGTAACCCTTCATTTCATGAAGTAGTAGGGACTGATCTGAAACCCTCTGAAGTCACCAAGCATCTTTCTATTGATTTCAATGAGTTTTGATCCAGCCTTTACTGAATTTAGATTTGAAAAGATATCCACTGCCATGAAAGAGTGCTAAGGGCTGAAAGATTGCGTTTGGATCAGTGTAATGCTATTGAAAAGCTCCAGGCTGATTTGAAGCTGAAATCCAGTCACGGAACAGGCATATCTGAGGCAAGGTAAGGTTTGCCCCAGATCAGATCAGCACTACCCGCTGCTGCTCCGCAGTTCCCACCAGTTCCTTATGGCACATGTGACTGTGTTTCAGCTTTGATCTCCCACACTATTTCCAGTGAGTAATTCCCAGGACATGCTATGACAGAGCCTGTCATTAACAAGTAAAGACAGGATTTCAGGGAAACCCGGGGAACAATCTTTCAGGGCACCCCCTGACCCTATGCCCAAACTGAAAGAATTGTTTTAGATAAAGAGGAGGGAATTCAGCCCCGCACCAGATTCCACCCACAAGGGGAGAGAAGCCCCTTTGTTCAGGGTGGGGACTGTTCAGGGAGTAACTGTCCAAATCAACTGGTGTCCTGTGGGCTGGTTGGCCCTCTCCAGTACTTATTCTGGAGAATTGTGGGTCTTTTCCTCCGTCTTCTCCACTCCTACAAACGACAGAATCCGGAGACACCAGTAGAACTGACTGAACATCAAGGTGTGCTCACACTAATCATCTCAGGTCTCGCACTTGTTTGTATACGTCGGCCTAAAGGGGCCCAGGAGTGGAACACGCCCCCCCGCCCCATGCTAGGCATTGTACAGACTGAGAATGGGTGACCCTCCCTGCCCCAAAGAGCTTACAATCTCTAACAGACCAACAAGTAATCGTCAGAAGCCCAGCTGCCACAGCTACCCCCTTTTGCTGCCATTGCTCGCTGAGTTCCCCGCCCCACCCACCTATGTGGCCCCTGCTCTACCTGGCACTGGTGAGGCCTCAGCTGCGCTACTGCATCCAGTTCTGAACATCACACCTTAAAAAAGATATGGACAAACTTGAGCTAGGCCAGAGGAGAGGCACAAAAATGATAAAATCTTTAGAAAACCTGATCTATGAGGAAAGGTTAAAAAGCTGGGGATGTTTCCTCTTGAGAAAAGAGACAGAAGTGGACAAACCAGATAGTCTTCAAGTATGTTAAAGGCTGATACAAAGATCAAGTGTTCTCCATGTCCACTGAAGCTAGGACAAGAAGTAATGGGCTTAATCTGCAGCAGGGGAGCTTTAAGTTAAATATTAGGAAAAACTTTCTAACTATAAGGCCAATTAAACACTGAAATAGGCTTCCTAGGGAGGTTGTGGAAACCCCATCATTGGTGGTTTTTAAGAACAGGTTAGACAAACACCTGTCTGGGCTGTTCTAGGTTTACTTGGTCCTGCCTCAATCCAGGGGGCTGGACTAAAGGTCCCTTCCAGCCCCACATTCTATGATTATGGGATTCTCTTCAGAGAAGGAACCTGAACCTACCGAGCCCCATTCACCAGGCAAAATGTCTACTCTGTGAGAGCGCATGCACAGGCAAATCATCCACTCACTCTGCACATGTGTGCGTGCGCGTGTGCACTCTCTCTCTCAGCCCCATTACCACCCATTTGAAAATGGCATTTATCCTGGTGGAGAATAAGCATGTTCCCCCAAACAGAACAGCCAGCTTCCCTGGACTTTACGAGAGAGCCAGAAATTAAAGTCACAATCAAATCAACAGTAAAGCAATAGCAGCTGCTCCTAACTGCCCACAGCCGAAAATAACCAGCCAAACCCAAAACTGAGCCTACGCAATTCCTTCACCTCCCCAGATCATGTAATGCCCCTTCTTCGCAGCTCAGCTCTACCAAGTTTAGACGTCTCACTTAAAAGTTCCCAGCAGTTCAGGGGCAATTGGCTATAGGTTAAGTACCCCAGTGTGATGCTCTGTACCTTGGGGGACCACCCTACACCTCCACGTTCATCTTTATAAAATGAGTGTGTGGTCTCCAATGCAAAGTTGGTCATGGTGGGCCTCTTCGGAAGCCTCATGATGCACTGAGCATTGTTGTTATAGCAATGTTATAATAATTGTTGTTATAGGTTATAATTTTCATGTATATAGTTATGAGGCTGAAAATGTATCTTCATGGCTTAAAGCAGGCCCAGGCAAAACTCTCCAAGAGCAGAAAGGCAGTTCACACCTCATCAGAGCATGTATGGAACAAACCCGGCCCAGCCTCACAGGAATAAAGGATGCTGCCCTAGGTAGCAACAAAAGGATCTGATGGACTCACAAGTGAGTCGCCCCCCCCTTCCCTTGGTCAGTTTAGGACTATGATGAGGTAATGCTCACCTGACTCTGAAGGTGAGGGGGCAAAGCCAAGAGGGAAGAAAGGACATGATAAAAGGGAGTGACATTTGTCATGCTCTTCCTCTCTCTTCCACCTACATCTACAGACACCACACCACGTGACTGAAGCACTGATCGAAGTGGGGAGCCTGTGGTGAGAAGCATCTAAGTTTGTAAAGGCATTGAAAGTGTTAAGATCAGCTTAGAATGTGTTTTGCTTTTATTTCATTTGACCAAATCTGACTTGTTATGGTTTGATTTATAATCACTCAAAATCCATCTTTGTAGTTAATAAATCTGAAGCAGTGCATTTCGTTTGAAGCATGTCAGACTCCCCTTGGGATAACAAGCCTGGTACATATTAATTTCTTTGTTAAATGGACAAACTCATATAAGCTTGCAGCGTCCAGCGGGCATAACTGGACACTGCAAGATGGAGGTTCCTAGGGTTGTATCTGGGACCGGAGATATTGGCTAGTGTCATTTGGTGGCACAATTCAAGGAGTAGCTTACATGCTAGAGGCTATGCGTGAACAGCCCCGGAGTGGGGAGTTCTCACAGTAGAGCAGGGTAAGGCTGGTTCCCAGAGTCAAGGATTGGAGTGACCTAGCAGATCACCGGTCCGGATAACACCAGAGGGTAATGTCACACCCAGTAAGGAACCCTTTGTGGGCAAACCTGTGTAAAGCTTATTGCAGATGAAGAGCCTTAATGGCTTCAAAAGGCCAGCCCTGACAACGCCTCTCACACTAGGCAACAGTCACAATTAGGCTGGCCCTTTAAGAAGAGTTGGGCTCAGGCCTTCTATCTAGTTGTCTGCATCCCGGGTGATGGGGTTGGGTCAGGCAATGGTAGCCATTCTGACCAACATTTTCAAACTGATTTCAGGGAGGTTTACCCAACCCCTTGCCTGACTCTCCTCTTCGGCATCCCCCCTACATACCAGCAGCCTGACCCATGAGCCCGTATGCCCATCCCTTCCAAATCTGAGTGAGTGGAGCACAGGGCTACAGCATCACTCAGGTTTGGGCTGGCCACCGCTCCTTGAGGAGGTAATATTAGTACATAGGGAGTTGGGAGTTTTTTGGCTGACATACCACGAGACATGGTCCACATGATGGTAGCTCAAGGACAGGGCATCCTATAAGAGGGTGTCTGCTCTGTCAAAGACTAGGGTTTGCTAAAGAGACTCAAGTAGGCCTGGCAGAGCTTCCCTGCTCAGAGTGTTCTGGGGCCTGATATAAGGGTAATGGGAATACATCTAACTGCCTGTAGAGATGCTTCTGCATGGGATCCAGAGACGGTGGGGAAAAAGCTCTCCCTGTTAGCCAAAGGAGCTGGAGCTATGTGAAGCAGGAGGCGGGAGCAAATTCTTAAGAGAGAATTAGGTGGCCATAAAGGGTGGAATGGATTGCTGAGTCTGGAGAATGCAGAGGCCAAGACTTTAACAGGATTCAAAAAGAACTAGATAAATTCATGAAGGATAGGTCCATCAATGGCTATTAGCCAGGATGGGCAGGGATGGTGTTCCTAGCGTTTGTTTGCCAGAAGCTGGGAATGGGTGACAGGGGATGGATCATTTGATGATTACCTGTTCTGTTCATTCCCTCTAGGGCACCTGCCACTGGCCACTGTCAGAGGATAGGATACTGGGCTAGATGGACCTTTGGTCTGACCCAGTACGGCTGTTCTTATGATTCTAACTCTGAGTTAAATTGAAGGGGAGAGTAGGCATGAGTTGTGATGGTTTGGTTGAGTGGGGGAAGGAAAGAAACTTTGGCAGATTAAGACCCAGTTACAGTGACCATCAGAGGAGACTATCTTTGGGAATTCATGATAACGCCACTCTGATAGATAGCAGTCGAAGGTGTACAGATAGAGACATCTTTGACAATCTGATTGATTAGAATAAAAAATTTATTTTGATTCTTACTGAATTGAAAAATTCAACAATAAATAAAATGTCAAAGTATGAGTGACCCAGACTCCCTTCAATCAGACAGAGACTGATGATAATAATCAATGTGTTCCAAGGAAAGAGAACTAGGAAGAAGCATCTGGAGACCAAAAAAAAAAAGTGCTCAAGAAATTCAGTTTGGTTAAAAACAAACCACGCAATCAAGAAGTGCTTTGGAGAGTGTGCATTGGTAGCATATGCGGTTCAAGATTTAATGTTATAGCCTTTAAAAACATAAAAATAAAAAGACAGTTCTCAGTTCCTAGCAGGACGACAGTTGAAAATACTGGCAGTGGGAATGGAATTCTCCAGTGGCCTCTTTTGCTGCCTCTTCACTTAGAAACCAGTTGGATGATCAGAGCAAACTGGAAGTTAGATAACCAGATCGCATTGATTTTCAATTGGCGTTTGACCCCAAACTGCCAACTTCTGTTACAAGCCGAACTGCCAGGAGCGCCTTTGAAAGTCTTCCCCAGAAATGACTTAAATATACAGGGAATTTATCGGCAAACTTTCTCATTTACAAAAGAAATGCAAGAACAGCATTCATGTTGTACATGTTTCTGCAAAACCCAGCCACCAAAGCACAGGCTGAAAACATGACACTGCTGTTAAATCAAATTCTCAGAGTATTTTTTTAAAATCAACCATTTTGAGGGAAACGGGGTAGTTTGTCACCTGCCTGGGAAACACTGAATTATAATCATCATTAAAAAGTGGTAATATCAAAAATATGATTCAGGTTCATTCTTCTACAAAGTGATTTTAGAAGAGAAGATCATTTTTGTTACAACTGCAGAATCATGCCCTTATCCTGGAAACTTGCATGAGAGTGGCTCTTTTGGTCATCTTTCTAGGACAGCAGCTCTCAATATTGGGGTTACTTACAGGTGTCAGGTTTCAAGAACTCTGCCCTTCCCCTATTGCTAAAGGGAGGGTGTCATGGGTAAACAGATGGAAAGTCATGGGTGTGTGTGTGTGGGTGGGTGTCCTATTATGGAAAAGGTTGGCAGCTACTGTGAAAATGACGTGTGTGAAGCTTGTCCTTCATGTTCTGTGAATCCAGTGGGCCAGCTTGTGTGTGTAAAGTTACTCACATTGGCAAGTGGTGGGAGGATGGAGGTCATAAATAGAGAGAATTGGACTGATCTTGCCATCACATTGTAAATCTGAATGTGTGAAGTTCTTACCCACGAAAGCTTATGCTCCCAAACATTTTGTTAGTCTTAAAGGTGCCACAGGACCCTTTGTTGCTTTTTACAGATTCAGACTAACACGGCTACCCCTCTGATACTCAGAAAAACCAGACACAGCAAAAAATGTGGGGCTGAAATCCTGGCCTTATTGAAGTCAATGGCAAAACTCCATTGACTTCAGGGGGCCAGGCTTTCACCTACGGTACTGACATAACAGTAACTAAAACAGACACTGCCACCAAATTGGCTAATGAATGAACATGCTATTTCTTAGTTAGCTAGTATGTGTGTGTGTGTTTAATTACCACAGATTCTAGTCACAAAAACAAACAAACAAACAAACAAAACTCCTAAAACAAAACAAAAAACAACAAAATAAGAAAAATATCAAACCTGCAGCTCTTTCAAAATCTACTCCAGAGCCCACTGAAGTTCAGTGGAAAGACTGGCACTGGCTTCCCTGGGCATTGGATATGGTTCATAGATTCCTTGAATCCCATCTTCATGATATTATGAAGCAAGTGCTACCGCCCTCAAATCACCCTCCCCTCCCGATTTCAGACTTTAACTCATGTTTAAAATATCAACGAACAACAGAAATGAAGGTCAAATAGATTTTAGGAAGAATCTGTGTAGACAAAGTCTCCAATACAACATTTCTTATTCACCCCTTGCTGCATAGAAGTAATAATGTTAATATATACATTTGTCTAAAGATACAAATCTTCCCGAGGTCTGGATCATACTGTAGAATCAATACATAGAGGATATGTCGTGGTAGATGCCCATGCAGCTCTGTTCACTTCTGTAGCTCCCATCCTTGTGCCTGATACTTTCACTTAAATACATTTAAATAGATATCACCTTCTAAGATGTAAAAAATAGAATAAAAATTTTCCTATCAACTTTTGGATTTTTTTCTCCTTTAAAAAAAAAAAGGTAAAAGTTACCTTTAAAAACTACCCTCGTCAAGTAGAATACAGGCGATGTCATTATTAGTTTAGAATACAAAATGATACCGTGTAGAGACTAAGCTTTGGTTAACTGTTTTTTTTCCTATAAAAAGTTTAATTTAGGGATTTTCGTCTTTAAAAAAAATTACATCTGTTGCACAAATATAAAAGGCACATGTAAACCACTGAAAGAAAAAAAATGTCCACTGTTCTACCTTGAATGGATTCAACAAAAATTAGCATTCAGAGTATCTATCAAAAAATAAAATAAAAATAAAATTATATTTAAAGAAACCCAAACAAACCAGTGGCTAAAAAGGCCATTTTGGCTGGCATTTTCAATCACAATCTTATTTTGATTTTCTTCGTCTCATTATGGCTGTGTAGGATGCTACATTAAAATATGCAGTTAACTGGACATGAAGGATTTGATCCAGAATTTCTCGATGTGGATTGATACATTGCCAAAGGTAGTCAGTACTCCTTGCAAGTCAGGTACATCACCTTTGTCCATAATACAAGGCAGAACCAGAAATGACACAGTGAAGAGAAGAGATGGTTTAAAGAAAAGATCAACAGCAGAATAAGTGAACGTGTTCTTTTGAGGTAATCCTTACTACAGTGTTCATAGCCAGCCATGTTGGTGGGACATTCAGGAAGCTGTTTTCACCTCTCCTCTTCAGGGCATTCCTGCCTTATGCAAGGAAAGCACACACACATACAGTAATTCCTAGAAAATGATCCCCTTGATTACCCTAACAGCAAGAGGCACATCTCTCCCAGTATTTCAAGATTTCATAATTCCATACATCCCCTGTGATTCCGCACATCATTTATTCCCCATAATTGATCCTTAGGTCCCCAACGTCTCTATTCTCAAATAAGGAAATCAAGTGCAGTATGGCACCAATACTGCATGCTACTTTCATTCAATGATCGTCACAGCAGTGAGACACACTTCCTCAGCTGCAGAGTCTGATATTCAAATATAGTCAGCTCCCAAGATCATCTTCGATAAGCCACTTCAAACACTTCAGTAACTGACCCCTGCTGGAAATTGCAGCCACAAATCCCTGCCTATGATAAGGGTCATCTGCCCTTGAAAAAACGTATTTTGTCAATAGAGGCGAGAGTCAAAGTGATATTGGACTCGAAATCCCCATCATGGACCATGGTTTTCCGAAAAGCCCCCCCAGAAGCGTTGTTTTCCCAGTAATGATGCCAGTTGCCATTGCTGTCTGCTCCAAAACCGTACACATCCACCTAACAAGAGAGAGAATGAAAAATGTTACATCCTGAAAGACTTTGCCTCTGGCTTGGTGTGTTCTTAATTGACATTTTGAGGAAACTCTAGTGATTCTCAACCTTTTCTGCACTGCTCTTATTTATAACTGATGTTGTGGTAGCTCCTAGGCACATCAGTCATGGACCAGGACACAGTTGTGCTAGGTTCTGTACAAACAGGGGAAAAAAAGACAATCCCTGCCCCAAAGAGCTTTCAATCTAAGGAAATCAAACTGGGATCTCCTTTTCCATACCTGAGTCCTCCTGGAACCCCTCTCCGCCTAGCCAGGACTTCCCTGCCACTTAGCAACACTGAAAGAACTGGGTGGTCATGACAGCCTAAACCAGTTTTTGACCGCAGGAGACATGAGCCCTAGGTGGAAAATCCCTTCTCTGCTGAATGAAGACCTCAAAGACAGGAGAAATTTTGGGCCCCTCTCTACCATATTTAATTGGGCTTTTCCAAATGACAATTCTTGTCTAGTCACATTTAGATGCCTACCTATCCAGAGCTCCGGCTGCACGTGCATCAATACCCAAAGGCATGATGGGTACTTTATTGGCACTATGGTCAAATCCTACAACTCCTACTCAGTCCTTAGTTAAGTATTGATGTGAGGGGGAGTTAGACTGAGTGTGGACTTCAGGACTCCGCCCTATAGACATTTTACCCCCAAATAAGTGCTCTGCGCTGCATTGGTTCTGTAGGACAGCAACAATATTTCATAGCAGGTTAAGGTTATTCTTCTGTGGGTTTGGATTTCCTTCATAAACATATTTCCAAGAAAGAAACATATCTTGCAAGAAAGAGACAAACAACTCCACTGACATTTTGCAGGCTGCATCTCATCCCAGGCTAGAATTTTTGGCCCGCTGCCTCCCCAGCTGCTAGGGATAGGGGCAGAGAGAACTGGAGCCTCCTCTCTCTCCCCCCCGCCCCCGGCATGGGCAGTAGGTGAACCGCCAGCCAGGGGATGCTGTCCCCCAGCTGGCCTTGCCCCACTGCCCGAGGACCCCCCTCCTTCCCCCACCGGAGCCCCACTCCTCCCTGCAGCTGCCAGCCCCCAACCTCGGCGCGTAGGGCGAGTGGTGCGCATCCCTCCCAGGCCCCGAGCACAGGGCAGGCAGCGCGCGCCCCCCCTGGCTCCTGACCACAGGGCGGGCAGTCCCAGTGCCTCCAGCCTCGCCCCCACAACCGAGCGCCGGGCGGGGCCCCCAGCACTGGGTGGCCCCAGCCACCCTAGCCCTAGCACGCAGCTTCCCTGAAGAGGAACAATCTGCTTGGGCCGGGGCCAAGGGCAAAGAGGGCTTCGGGGAGGGGCGTGGGCAGGGCCACGCCAGGCTGTTTGTGGAGGCACAGCCTTCCCCAGTCTATACAACGCACTGCCCATGCCCCCTGCATGTTTCCAACTGCATAATACAGGCTAGAGAATTTCACCCAGTAATTCCTGTAGTGAAGGGAATTGTCCCCACTGTATAAACTCCCAGGCCCAGAAAGCAAAAGGTACTGCTGGAAAACTGGCCATCTGCCATACACAGAAGGGGCATATGGATTACATGAGATCAGGCAGGCTGAGGACTTCTTGTGTTTAACTGGACTTCTCTGAAACGCACTTCAAACCCTAATGCTTAATCATGTTTTTTTATTTGTTTAAGAATTCATTTATATTTGCGACTGTTTCCATGTTATCTCCGACTCTGGGTCAAAGACACCTCTTGTCTAACAGCTGAAATCATAAACGCTGAAGGAAACTTGAAGTAAGAGGAAGCAAAGATGGAAAGAGGCCAACAAAGATGAACAAATGATCTAGGGCTCTCATGTTAGCATCTGCTACAATTACAGCCCTTGACCCCAACATAGTATCAGTGTACACTGAAGCGAGGAATGGAACAGTTTGCTCTTTACCTCATCACACAGGTGGAGTGCAAATATCACTGACAGAATGCCTGTCGAGGGGTATCTTCCATGATTCTGCAGCCAATGGTCATAAACATATTTGATAAAAACTGGGTGATAGACCAGGATCTGTGGAGAATTGGAGAGTTGCGTTCATAGTTCGTAAGAAACAGTGGCTGTTCCCTAACAGGACAGTTAGGGTGGGTGGGGAGAAAAAATTGACCCTAGCTGAGGATCCGGGCCTGGACTTCTATTCCTGGCTCAGCTTCAGTCTCACTGTGTGGTTCTGAGCAAGTTCCTGAACCTCTGTTTTTGTACAGCACCAATCACACTCACCTGCCTCACAGGGGAATTATGGGGCAGATTAATACATACATAGCACATTGAGGTCCCTGGCTGGAAAGTTCCAAAGAGCAGCAAGTGTTATAGCTCCTGGTTCTATGCATTGCCCCAAATCCTTCCCTCAGAGCAGTCTCAGCAGAGGTGTGCTTGGCAAGTCCTCAAGATCATCATCCCCCATTCCTGGGCTGCACTGGCAGACTCAGGCCTAGAACAGTCCCTGGAAAGTCCGTTCCCCTTCCCTGTGGGGCTGCTCCTCATTCAGAGCAGAGTGGAAAGGCAACATCCACTCCTCACACCTCCATCATCTGCAATGCTGGCTAAGGCTAGGGTTTTCCATTCCAGCCCCGCTTGGCCCTCCCATGCCGAGTTTGTGATGGGAGCCTCAGCAAGGTTAATTGCTGATATCTCTGTGTAATATCTTCTCACTGGGTGTTTTACATTTTTCATGGTGGGGGAGGAAGTCTATTTCTACACCGATGCTCTGAGCTGCTGCTGTTCTCTCTGCCAGGACACGCCACACAGCCTTGGCCCAGGCTTAATCTGCCTCAGCACCCTTTGTCATTCCTTTCCTGAAACCCTCACTGCCTTGCTGGAGAAATCATGTCACTTCCTTCCCAACTCCATGCCATGTTCTTGGAGGATGCAACTCTGACCGGGGCTATTAGGGCTAGGCAATGCCAAGGTGCTGGATGGCTTGGCACATCAATTAAAAGCCACTTGGGATGACTTCTGACTTTGCCAGCTACGCCCAGGGCCTGTGTTCTATAATAATGGTAGCTTAGCGCCTTCTCTTAGAGCATCTCAAAAGAGCTTTACAGATGTGAGGGTTCATGAATGACAGATAGGGACCTACTGTATCATCATTTCCCGCTCGTTTACAGTGGGAGAACGGAGGCAGAGGGATTTGCCTTAGATCACACCTGAAGTCTGTGGCAGCTCCCAGGTCTCCTGACTCATAGTGCTTTAACCACTAGATTATGCTTCCCGGCATGTTTCTTAAGGTGTGCCCTACATTTTAGCAGTGATGGGACCATGAATAATCGGCATACCTGAAACAGATTCACTGTATTTTTCTAATTTAAATATGTGACAAAAAATCAAATAGACACATGGGATGAAATTCAAGAACCTCTAGCCGCTTCTGTCTATAATGGGGAACAGTGCGCAAGGAGGAGACAGTTCACGGCACTGGAAGATTCAGTCTCCACCTACTCTGCAGGAAAGGAATGTTTGTTACAAAACCCCATCCATTCCATTAGGGCAGCTGGAATTTTAAGGCTCCAAGACTGTACTTGTAGTTTTAGGGAGAGACTTTCAGAAGTGCCTAAGGGGTTTAGGAGCACAAGTTCTAGTCACTTCAATGGCACTTGTGTGCCTCAACTGCTTTGGTGCTTCTGAAAGTCTCCTGCTTAAAGGACTCCAAAGGCTTGCAATGGCTATCTGAAAATAAAAGTTTGATTCTCTCCCTGCCTTGAATTACTCCCCACAACCCATTGCAGGCTACCTAAGCTTTTCTGTAGTGGATTTGGAACACACAATAACAGACTAAATCAATGATCTGTGGGGGCTGGAATCCTCCTCCAGCAGTAGTCCTAAGTCAGAGGTAGGTGAGAAGACCCATTGTTCACCTGTGAAATCATGCAGCATTCAAGGTATGCCCTGAAGCATGAAACATCTGTTTGACTTCTTTATGGTAAGTGAATTCCTCAGGCTGACTATGCTCTGTAGGCCTGATCCAATGGCCATTGAAATCATTAGGAGTTTTTCATTAACTTCATCCTCTGATTTGTTTAAAGTTTACCTGTCTTCCTCTTGTGCATACAAAGAAAGAGTTCCCTAGAATAGCAGTTCTCAATGGGGCGGGGCGCTCTCCTGGGGAGGCATACCAAACTTTCTGGGGTGGGGGGCTGCGATCCTTCCTACTCACTCACGGGGTTGCAATGCCACTTCCTGAAATTTTGCCTCTCTGCCCCTCTGTCATGGTGGAGGGGCAGCTGGGCCAAATTTCACTGAGTGGCATTGCAAACTGGATCACGGGGTCACAACCCCCACTAGCACTCTTCAATGCTGAAATCGAGAAATACTGCTTGAAAAGTTTGTGAATAACAAGGTATGTGCTTTTGAAAGGTTTCCTGGCCTACGCACTGTTAGACCGCCAACTCAAATGACTGATTTATTTAAAGTAGAATCCCCTTTATTGGAATCAATATATTAAATGGTCCCAGTTTCATCTGGAGCACATTGGAAAGTCTCATTGTATAAGACCGGGGCTTCAAGTTAAAAAAAAAGTTGGGGGGAGTGATGGAAAAAAGATCGAGAACTCCTGTCCTAGAAAATGAGAATCATGCCTTGAGTTCAAGCAATTTAATTAAAAAAAGAAAAAAGCATGCACAGTTGCTGACAGAAAACTAAACATTGTATATCTTGTTCCATGTTGAAAGCGGTGCTATTCTAAGACTTTATTCTATGTCAAGGAGAAACAGAGAAATTGTTGCATAGGATCAAACCAATAGGCCAGATGGTTCTGATCAGTACCAGAGGAAGCTATAAAACCTTCATAATGGGCAGAAATGGTTAGTTAGTGCTGAACCACAAGGCTGTAAATTTTTAGCCCAGCTAAAAATGTAACTGTGGGTATTTTTAAGACCTTCGTAATTACTTGCAGACTTCTTTGGATCCTCCCAAGCTATTTGTCCCAAGAATAATTTGTGGCAGCAATTTCCGCAGGATGATTAACAAACAGAATAAACCAACAGACACAACTCACCTTGTCTCTTTTTACTTTGATTTTACGGGGAACTGGGACATATGTGCTGTTAAAGAAAAAAATACCCAGATTAGTAGAAGTCAAATGAAAGGTGCATTTTAAAGTAAAAAAGAAAAAAGAGTATATTCTTAAAAAAATATACCAGGAAGAGGTTAAAATAAGAATAATGGTGACTGAAAATAATAAATATAACAAATTCATGGAAAATATGCTACCATTTCAACATATCATTGAAAAATGACCACACAGAAATGAATCAGACCTTAACTGCGGAGTTTTGTTTTCAGCCTAATGCATGGCTGGCATACATTTCACCACTAGGGGGAGACTCCCTCCCTCTTAATCTTTCTGGATAAGGATTCATTACTTTCAGCGGATGCGTAGAGGTATTATTCAGTTGCAACTAATAGAAAGGCAGTTACCGCCCACACCACCACTCACAGTACCTGGCCCCATCCCACATGCCCTCAGAACACTGTCCCTCCCCTCTCAAACAGCTGGGAAGAATCAGAAGTTGCCAGTAGCTGCTAATGTAAAGTTCTTGGTGGCTAGATCTTACAGTTGTGCTTGCGAGTCCCTGGGCTTGGTGAAGGCAGAGTCCTGTGTTCAAAAAGAAAAGCCTGATTTCCTCTAAATCCCAGGCACAAGCCATTCTGGTATAATACTACTGGTCACATGTGTGCAGGGATCCCAAAACACACACACGTAAAGTGTCTGTGCGTTTTCTTGAAGAAAGAGCGCACTGGAGCACTGGTTTCATGTTGTTCATAATGCACCCTAAACTACGCTCGATCCTTGCCGTAAAACATAACAAGACAGATCCTCACTCTAAAGAGCTCACCATCTGAACAAACCACCAAGGAGGGAAAGGAAACCACCGCAAGATTCCTATTGGTTGGATCTAAATGTTTAGAGTTTATTTTTAACTCTTTTTTATTATTAGGTATATTTTTAACTCCTTCCTAGTTTTAACTCATGCCTATATTAATCTGCTTATCTAGCCCTTCTCTATTATCCTTTGTTGCTGTTTCCTATGTCTGGGCTATGCTTAAAACTTAGGTCAACATAGCTTCGGCGTTCAGGGGCGTGAAAAATCCAATGCTTCCGTCCACCCGGCTACCGTCGCTTGGGGAGGTGCTGCTCCTACCGTGATGGAAACACCCCTTCCATTGGCGTAGGCTGCACTCACCCTATGGAGTTATGCTGATATAGTTATGGTGCTATAATCCCAGTAGTGTGGACAGTTACCACAGTCAACAGAGGGAGTCTTGGTGATTTCAGGTCATATTCGGGACTGTGAAGTCAAGAGTGCTCCCTTGCTGGGAGCTGCAAGAGTCGGCAGGCGAATGAGTGAGGGGAATGAAGAGAATGGACTTTGGGAGACGGGGCAGATCAATGGGCATGAACTAGTGATCGTCAAATGTTCCTGCATTCCGAAGGCCTCTCATCTACTCCAGATCTTGCACGGCCGGGTGAATATATGCACCCTGGCAGAAAGGAAAGCGAGAGCACCTAAAGTCCAGATGGGAGAGAGACAAATCACAACTAAGGTAGAATCGCCAAAGGAGGGCACGATTTGGGTTTGAAGGAGAGAGCATTCAAATTGAATATGGGGCTTTTTCAGCCCCAGCGTGACTGGGCTGTAGCAAAGCCTTCAGGCTGAACCACACAAACTAGTAGGCATAAGCTGATCTGAGGGAGGAATGCGGAATGGAATCAGGAGGCAGCAGGGGTCCACTTACACCAGCTGAGACACAAAAAGTGCTGCCCTGACAATCCGACAGTGGGGCCTGAGCTGGGGCCAGGGCTGTTGAAACAAAGCCACGTGGGCAGCTTACCACTGATTCTCTTTACCATATTTTCATCGAGTGGCACAGTGGCTGCACAGAAGCCTCTTGTGTCCAGACTCGCCCTCAGTTTGACTGGCAGCTCAGGGAGATTGATACCCATGCTGCAGCCAGCCCCTATGTATGGGCAGCTTGGCAAGGGCGGGCCTTGCGGTCTGTCTGCAAAGCAGGGCCTCGTCTGTTTTAAAACACAACCAAAGGCACCTCCTTTGGCTGCTTTTGTTTGGTTTATTATTCCATAAGTGCTTGTTTGGCTGATGTTCTGCAAAGTGCTGGGATACGTTCTATGAATGAATAAACAATACATGATTTACTTCTGCCTCAAAGCCTATTATTTAACGAGGCAGATTAGAGGATTCCATTGTGTTTTATAATAATCCGTACAAAGCTGCAGACAGAGGGCCAGACTGTGAACTCAGTCACTCTGGTGTAAATCGGGAGTAACGCTAGTGATTAGACTCCACCGATTTGAAAAGGTGTAACTAAGAACCTGATCTAAATTATTTGAAAAATTCCTGTTGACTTCCATAGGCTTCAGGACTTCAGAGCAGAATTTCTCACAGATTGTTATCATCCATAGAGTTATTTGGGGGGGGGGGGGGGAGGGAGGAGGAGAGGAAAC